TTTGCATTATTTCACAGTGTTTGCATGAAACAGTCCAAAGGTATTATATGATCTAAGTGCTTGTATTTGTCCTCATTGTTTTCTGTTTATTTTGGATTTGACTGCAGAGGCAGCAGTCTTAGCAGAGACCTCCAGACTTCCCTCTCCTCAAAGAACTCCTCTAGCTTCTCCCATAGAAGCCTTAGGCAATATGGAGCTAGCTGAGAGACATAGTACCTGCAACATGTTATGGGCCCTCTCTTGGGCCTCCTCCCGGTGGGGAGAGCCTTGAACACTTCCTAAGAAAGCATCCAGGGGCCATGCAAAACAGCTGTCTGAATCACCTCCGCTGACTTCTTTTAATTTGGCGGAGCTCTACTATGGTCAAGCTCCTGTTCATATCTCTAAGCTTGGTCACATTTCAAAGCAAGCTAATTTCAGCCATTTGTAATAAAATCTTTATACTTTTGGTCATAATCCAGATTTCATGACCATAGGCCAGGGTAAAACTGCAGACCAAACTATAAATCCAGAAATGTACCTTGTACCTGAAACATGTAATTACTCACTAGGGCCTGCCAAGTTTGTTCATCTTTCTTCTTGGTTGACTTCTCTGCCCCTCTCTTATCTAAAATGTCCAAGCTGAAGAGCATATGACTACAAAGTCAATCCTTGATTCTAGGGTGCTCTGATGCCAAGTGCACAGATGGACACTCTTATGCTCTGACATGGTATTTAGTATGGACAATCTAAGACTTGCACAGAGGTCCAATAGCAAAACATCTCTCGTGTTCAGAGTTGGAGGTCTGTTCCTTCCAATGAAGCCCTTTGGGACTGCTATAAAGCACCAGGGAGGTGCTTTTTAGCACAGAGTCCTCCACCCTTTTTAAAGATACACACTCTATACAACACTCTCATTCACCTGGATGAACCGTTAAACTCAAGGGAGCCATGCAGACTCACCTTAGCCAATGTCCAGAGGACTTAATGACTTTAGATCCGTCGCCATGACCTCTGTGGTTATGGAGTCCTTTTAGCGCCTTGTGATTTCACAACTCAAATAGATCACTGACCCCCTCCTGGACAGTTTCCCAACAGAGCCAACAGGCCTGCAGACAATGCTGTCAACTTGGCCTTTCACTACATCTTCCAGCACCTGGATTCCGCAGGTACCCATGCCAGGACCCTGATTGTGGATTTCAGCTCTACCTTTAATACAATCATCCCAGCTCTAATTCAGGAGAAGCGCTTCCAGCTGAGTGTGCCTGAGTCCACCTGCAGGTTGATTACAGACTTCCTGGCTGACAGGAAACAGCACGTGAAGCTGGGATAACATGTCTCCTATTCACTGCTCATCAACCCTGCTTCCTCCCAGGGCTGTGTTCTTTTGCCTCTGCTCTTCTCCCTGTACACCAACTGCTGCACCTCCAGTCATCAGTCTATGAAGTTTCTGAAGTTTACAGACAATATCAATCTCATCTGACTTATCTCTGATGGTGACGAGTTTGCTTACTCGTGGGAGGTTGACCATCTGGCCACCTGGTGCAAGGAGAACAACCCGGAGCTCAACCTGCTAAAAACAGTGGAGATTGTTGTGGACTTCAGGAAGAACTCAGCCCCAGCCATCACCATCAACCTCTGTGACTCCACATTTGACACTGTGGAGTCTTTAGCTTCCTGGGAACTATCATCTCACAGGACCTAAAGTAGGAGCTGAACATCAACTCCCTCACCAAGAAGCTCAGCAGAGGATGTACTTCAGCTACAGCTGCAGCTTAAAGAAAAATCAACTTGCCAAGGACAATAATGGTGCACTTTTACTCCTCCATCATTGAGTCCATCCTCACCTCCTCCATCACCATCTGGTACGCTGGTGCCAACGCCAAGGACAAGGGCAGACTGCAGCGTGTCATCCAGTCTGCAGAGAAGGTGATTGGCTGCGATCTTCCATCCCTCGACGATCTCTACGCCTCCAGGACTCCTAGGCGTGCAGGGAAGATTGTGGCTAATATCTCGCACCCAGCGACAAACTATTTCGGACACCCCCTTCAGCAGGAGGCTGCGGTCCATGAGGACCAAAACCTCATGGCAAAAGAACAGTTTCTTCACATCCGCTACCAGCCTTATCAACAAGGCCTAGAGACCCCCGTGACGCTGACACTGCCTCTCTCCCTCCCAATTCAGGACCTAGAACGTAGCATCTCCAGACCTTCTGCGTTACATTAACTCACAGTCTACTGTGGATATAGTATATGGCTATATACTATATATTGTACATAGTATATATTGTATATATATTGCATATTGTATACTATATATATAGTGTAGTATAGTATATTGATTCTGAATTCTGTATATATAACCTAATTTGTCTGCAACATCAACACCAAGTCAAATGCCTTGTAAGTGCAAACCTACTTGGCAATAAATCAGATTCTGAGTCTTAGCCCTCCAAGGGCCACTCCAGAGTAGAGGAGAGTCCAGTTTCCTGTAAGGAGCTGGGTTCTGGAGCCCGGGCTGTGCATAGAAAAGAGATGATTGCAAGAATATTTCTAGCCGGTTGTGACTTCCAGGTGCTCACTAATGAACTCCAACCCCAGATCTAGCTCCAGGGTAAGGGCCGTAGTGGGTGCGGTCACTTGCTTTGTTGATGTGGACTTCAAAAGGTTCTTTTTCTGGTCATCATCCAGAGCTTGTTTGCCCTGGGATACCCTAACAGGCACCATAAATTTCTGCTGGAGTCATCCAAGCACTGAAAGCCTTAAACCACGTTAGGGTAGTGGTTCATGAAGGAGATGATCTAAATGACTTTATTTAAAACACAACAAGGAACAATTATTTCTAATTAAATGAATATTATATGATAATAATTACAATTAAAATAGATTTATTCACAGTTATGCATACAATTTTAATAGTTCTATAGCCCAAATGTATACCCCTGGCAGATTAGCGTTTTAACTTGATCTTTCAATTTTACCTATATGTCACTACTGATTGCAAGCCATATCAATGCTTGGGATGGCCCAGTCTCTGGAATTGATCTGATAGAGAATCTTAAAATTTATTTATAGAAAGGTAGCCTCTTGCGCTTAAGGACTTGAAGCTAACCACCTACACTAACATCAGACTTAAAGTGAATACTTGCAAAAAAGTAAGCATCTATAGGAAATATTAATGTCAATACACGTTTTCTCAATGAGTGTTTTCAATTGTTTAAAAGATAGATGGAAAGCTTAGATAGTGAAAAAAACATTTATCTTGTACTGAATGTAGCTGCATCACCTTTAGAGAACAGCCTTTTATCTTATTAGAAAAAAGTTTCTTGATTAAATGATGATTTAACATCCAAATCTGTAGAGCAGTGGTTCCCAAAGATTCTCTTCTGGGCCCCCCTTTGGATTACAATAAATCCAAAGGCCCCCCCCCCCCCCCCCCCCCCCCCCCCCCCCCACAACCCCCCCCCCCCCAAAAAAAAAAAAAAGAATAAACTGGGCACACACATCGTTCAACCAGATATAGTAAATCTATACACATATTTTGTTTTCAAACTCCACTGAAGTTTATTTCACACAGGTTGCAACAAAACAAACTACACCATCTTTACAGTGGAACACTTTTGTGTAACTGTATTTTTTTCATAGTTCTATAATGTAGATTAGAAGAGGATTCTTTGTTGTCTGTGTTATTTTAAACATATTTCTTTTTTTTATTTGTAACAATATTTAACTTTGCTATCATCAATACATTAAAAAAGCCTCTGTGCAAAATGGAGTGAAAACATTGAACAGCTCCCTGAGAGTTTTTTCTTTGTACTTTAATCCTCCCATCTTTTCAGTGGCTGTAGTGAGCCTGCTTTTTGCTGTAGATCTTCTCAAATCTGGGTTGCAGTGTCACAACTGTCCATTATGCTCAGTCAAGCAAGCACTGTTTTTTTTTTTTTTTTTTTCTTCATTCATCCATACCGCTTCCTGCGCCCCCCCTGCAATGGCATTGTGCCCCCCCTAGGGGGCGCGCCCCACACTTTGGGAACCACTGCTGTAGAGGGTGCTCTGCTTCTCTTTGTCACAAGAAAATCAAATATATCAAAGCTTTAAATGGTTTGCTAGTAAGGTTATCTGCCAGACTTGGCTGACCTGTTAGTCAAAGCTAACCAACTGCATTTTTAAAACAACCTTACCTACTGAATATAAATAATTGATGACTCTTCTTTAGTTTTCATGCTGTGGCTTACCATTTTTTTTAAGAATGTACAATTCACAAACATTAATGTTCCTCTCTCTTGTTTATGTAGGAAAGTTTAGTAACTTTCCTTAAGGCAACTTACAAGCAGTGTGCTGGAACCATTGGGGAAAGAGGAGCACTATGCTACCCAAATGCACACACTGTTACAAATACAAAGGTTACAAATTACAAATCTAGTTAGAAATCCAGTTAAAATGCAGAGGTTCTAACACGTTGTCAATGTTGTTATATTAAAAGCAAAACTTAGGAAATGTTTCGTTTATTTTCCTAATCAGTGACACAACTTTGAAAATATTTCTTAACATGTGACCTAATGTGGGCCCATTTCTGCCAAAGAATAGACATATTATAAAAATCCAACATGTCTGTTGTCAGACTGTTAATGTTGCAACTCAATGGTTACTGAGAAGATTACAAAAGATGCCAGACATCGCATTACTTATTCTGCAGGTATAAATCCACCTTGAAGTCCTGGTTTGTGCCCACTGTGTAAGAGGACTCATTTCTTTGTTCTTCAACACACTTCCCAACCATATTTTGGGTTTCCCTGGTGATGGTGACCTTGCCATTTAGCTAAGGTCTCATGTTGTCTATTGCAGCATTAAATAGCTTGCATTTAGGATCTGTTAAAGTCTTTAGGCTTGCATGACTCTTGAAGTGATGCTAAGCAATCATAGAGAAAACAGATGCAAACAGGATTCTATTTAGTAATAGTAACAGGAAGCTTGTTCTCGGACAATTTTTTTTCATTTACTTGTTTTGTATTCCCCCATTAGGTGAGTCGATACCGCTGGGTGGTGAAAGAGAGGACCTGAGAATGACAGAAACCAGTACCCCGAAATCGGCAAAGAAGCCCCGCTGGACCTCTCTGGAAATTGGCCTCATTACTATTGTCTCTTTGCTCTTCATTGTTATCGTTGCCCTCATCATCCTTTTTGCCACCCAGAAGACTGGTGAGTGTTATGATTAAGGATTATCACTGACAATTAACAAGTTGTTTTTTTTATTATTTTTTGATGAACTGTGTGAGCAAAACAAGAGAAACTTGTAGCTGAAAGGATTTTTTGAAGGACATTCAGGGTTTTCACTTCATGGTTAACGGTAAGTAAAAATGCGCATGCAGAAGAGCTGTCCTTTTGCTGCCATACAACACACTTGCACTTGAGCTGTGTGCTTTTAAGTACAGTTCTACAATACTGTCTCGCACAGAATAAAAAAAGGAAGAACAATATGCATGTGTGTTCGAAGGTTCAATTTAAAAGGTTTGCATGACTCACACACTATCTCAAATTACTAAATGTAGGCTTAATTTTAAGAACTGTTCTTGGCATATTTAATGGAAAATGTTATGCATTTGACATTTTTCAAAAAAAGATGACAAATGGGAAATTGAGAAGCGGGGCTCAAACCTTTTTTTCCTGTTTTAGTTTAATGTCAAAGTTTGATGTGTTGATTTTCCATATTCAAGTTTAAAATAAGCAGCCAAACAGAGTTTGAGTACCAGCAATCACAAGCAGGTGATGTATAGATTAATTATTGACAAAGTTCAGCCGGTCATGATTGCAGAATCCTGACAGAAAGGGTTATCAAATTAAGTTTGATGGAGTCTGTCTGTTTTTGTGGGTGTGTTGAGCTATTATTAATTTTTGCTGTCTTGTGCTTTATAAATGAGTAAGCTGCTTTGTCAGGAAATTGAATGCTAAATGGTTTGCCCACGTCTGTCGCCATGTGTACACTCAACCATGTTCACACTGAGTTCATTAAAATGTAACCCATGGAGGGGTATATTAAAGGTCAGATTGCACTCTGCTGGTGTGTCAGTACATCCCAGATTCCCTTCGAATAACACATTTCTGAAAGAGTGAAAGCAGTAAATAGGACTCATTTTGCCTACTGTACATATGTGTGACAAATTACTTTTAAAAAAAGAAGAGAAGCAGAAAGTAAACTAAGGAGGGGACTTATTTAGATGTAATAATTAATGAGTGCGAAACACCCACTGAGTAATGAAAATATGTTTTCCATTCTCTTGCAGATGAAATTTGCACGACAGCTGATTGCACGCAGTCAGGTAAGCAGCTTCTGTTTGTTTGCTTTTTTTCTCTCTATTGTTTCACGCTGAAGCCTTTGACTTTTCCTAGAGGGAGACAGCCAAGCAGAAATGAAACTGCTGCAGAAGCATTTATGACATATTTACAGAAAACTGTCTCTTCATAATCTGAACATGTTCTCTTTCAGTCAAAGCCATGATGAAACTGACATAATAGACCTATTATTATGCATGTTTCACACCCACATTCTAAGCCTAACAATATTCATATCATTGTCAAATTTTAAATGTATCTATCCCCAATTTTTTTTTCCTTTTTTATAGGGAAATCTGTCAAAGGTACTAAAACAAAGTACGAGTAAAGTTTAATTTTTATATGTTTTTTTTTTTAGAAAAGCATGTTGAAAAGTACTGATACTGCTTTAAAGGTAATCAAAAAAATGTATAACAATATATATTACAGCAGTCAAACTCTTGTTGTAACTTTTAACCAGGGCTTCGCTTGTTTCCACTGATATTTTGATATATAAATGTATTCTTGTTAAAGAGATCCCAGTCTTTCAGGGTTTCTTCTTTGCCATCTACCTAAACTCCCCTCTCAGATTATTTATCGCTTTTAAATCCTAGTTTTGCTGAGCTAATCTAAAATGTTATTACCTTCAGACAGAAAAACATGTTGAAATTAGATGATTACTCTAAAAGAACTGGCAGAATCATTTCAACAAAAAGCAGACTTAAATATCTCAAACCACAACCACAGCACCTTATGCTACAATCTGTCAATCATCTGTCCCCGATGTTTCTCTGTCTGGAAAGGGTAAAGCTTTGGTATTTTACTACAGCGATAGACATTATCCACAAATGGAGACAACATGGAATAGTTGTAAACCTTGGAGGATGGTGGGCCACTCCAAGGGTGACTCATCCAACAGGTGAAAAACGAGCCAGGCACCACTCTTAAAGCACTCCAAGTGTCATTTGCTTCTATTAGGATCAGTGTTTGTGATTTAAGAGAGTCTGAAGGTAAACAACACTGCTGAACAAAAAGAAAAAGAAAAAAAAGGCTATTTAAAAAAATATTTAATCACTTGATGAAAGTAAACCTGTCCGGTCCATATGTAATATATTTATTGGTAGGTTTATGAACACTAACATAAGTAAAAAGAACAAAAATATTTGGTGCCAGTTTTCAGCAACAGATGCCAATGTATTTCTGAATCATTTCTGCAGTCTTGGTGTCCCAATTCAGTCAGTTTTGATAGACAGTCTTGTCACAAGGGATCCCAGAGTGAGCACCCGTCAGTAATTTAATTGCAGCTCAAAAACACCTAACATATTTCCGCTGCTGGTGCTTGAATAAGACCCAATTACTGCTAGTAGGCTGTTTTAACCGAGCAATTGTAATGTTGAGATTTTACTTGTCAGAAAACAATGTTTTGGTAAAAAGAAATAAAAGACACTTTTTTATTTATTTTATAGTTGCCATTGATTGTTATTTCATTAAAGAGCAGAAAGTGTTTTAACAAACTTTATAGATGATCTGTACATTTTCATTTGCCATCTCACTACTGTGCTAGTTAAATGTTTGAATTGTTTAGCTTTATCTAAACTTTAAGACCTACAGTATGATCAATACCAAGGTTTACAAATAGGTTTTCTAAGCAACAGGCTTTGAAAAAAGTCTGAAATTAAAGAAAAAGGTAGCCTGACTCCATTTAAATGACTGAATAAAAAACATGTCTTACTGTATATCCAATAAGATAAGTGAGATTAATTGAAATAATCTATGTGAATGGTTAGTATTTATCCATATATTTTCTACATTTGAATAGTTACAGTACAAAAGAATAAACAAATTAAGCTCTCTGTTAGTACTATCTGAAATGAGCTTTTTGGCTCTTTAGATTTGTCGAAGGATTAGGTTACTCTAATCACATAGCCTTTTAGCTGCTTTCCCATTTTCTAGCATTCAGCTGATCAGCTGCTGCTTTCATCCTTTAACAAGTTCAGAGCTAATCTTCTCTCTGAACACTTTGGTGTAAAATGATTAAGCATATTTCCCCAAAATGTCAGAGTACCAATTAGTAACATGGGAGGCATCGTAAAGCCACCGGCTGAGGTAGTTGCTGAAAACACCTCATTAAATGTGGTGCTTGTTACAAACTTTAATGTTGGGCTCATGTCTTTCATGTATGAGTTTTATTTAGGGTTTTTTCATGACCAGAGCTCTCATTTATTAAGCTTGCATGCAAACAAAATGGGACCTGAAACTTGATTATGCCGCTATCCAAACAAAGGTTATGATCTATAAAAAACATATTTTGAATGAAAATGTGCTATCTATCTGAATGTGCTGTACCCATGCTTACCGAATACACACTTTTTGGAGTCGGAGGGAAATGGTGACACAAATCAAGGATGTAACTTTGTGAGGAAAGTTGGTGGGGACACTCAGGTGGTGGCTAATAGACTTAAAGTTACTCAACCCGAGCACTTTCAATAGTGTTTTGTCTTTTCCAGAAATGAGCTCAAACATATATTTATTGAACGCTTCCCTATTTTTGAGAGCACAAGAGTACCACAACACACAAATGCCTGTTAGTGCATTATTTATAAAGGGCTCAAAAACATTAATGTATGCAAAAATGATGGATGGATGGATGGATGGATGGATGGATGGATGGATGGATGGATGGATGGATGGATGGATGGATGGATGACGGACGGATGGATTGATTGATGGATGATGGAAATATGGATAGATGGATGGATGGATGGACGGATGGATGGATGACGGATGGATGGATGGATGGATGGATGGATGGATGGATGAATGGATGGATTGATGAATGGATGGATGGATGGATGAATGGATGGATGGATGGATGAATGGATGAATGGATGGATGGATGGATGGATGACGGATGAATGGATGGATGGATTCCCTTTAAGCTGCACCAGTGATTATCCTTCTTCACAAGTGACAAAATCAAATTTAGAAATTTGTCCCACAAATTGTCAACAGCCATAGTCTATGTATAAATGTTATTATATTTCAAAAATAATTTATACACTACTTTTAACTCTATTATGTATTCTTTAATTCTTATAGTAATTATTATATAATTATAACCATATCTATAATAGTTTCTCATATCTTAACTTTAAGTCTGTGTCCTGTGAGACTGGCTGTCTCTGGGTTGGCTGGCACAGCTATTTCTGAATCTTGCTAAATTACGAAAGACAAGAAGATATGTTGAATTTAATTATGGCATTACATATTAATTTCTTGTAAAATTTGTGATAAACTTGAGATATATTTTATTGCATTTTGCATATCCCAGTAAATCTTATTAACTTTAAATCTGCAGCTGTTCCTACTTGTGTCTCTTTGCTCTGCTTAAAACAGATTTATGAACCTGTCTACTAATATAATGATGCCAGAGAAACTCTGAACATTTAAATATATCTAGAAACAGAAACAGAGCACAGTATTTTAACTATTTTTTCTTAAGCTTCTTGCATTTTAATACTAACTTGTATAAACTTACAATTTGTTGCCATTTTTGGCTGAAAAAGCTCGGTATGTCTGACAAACTGATTTTTCTGTGACATTTCTAATTTTTTCAACCAACCTGTCTTCTATATTATACTTAAACATATATCGAAGTAGCTGCCTGTTAAATTCAATGAGTGCTACTGTGTGTCTCTCCTCCAAACACGTAGCTACTATGTACGCAGTTAATAGCGACCCCAATAATATTATGTCTCAAAGGGACAGATCCGATGATGTTAGACCAATAGGCGGGACTCGGGAGCAGCGCAAGAGAGGAAAAAAACACTGACCCAAAATGCTCAGAAGACAGATAACTGCACCCAACTCTAGTTACCAGAGTTGGGTGCAGCTAAGGTAAATGAGCGGAAAGGAGAAAAATGCAGAACTTATTGGTGGTGACTGCCTCCGCCAGGGCAAAGTTGGTGGGGACATGTCCACACTAGTCCTTCTCAAAGTTACGCCTGTTCCACAAATTTATAACATAAATGTAACAAGTTGTTTAGTATGCACACTGATTGCTGTGCACATTTGAATACCACCTGTGTGTAATGGTGTGCAGCTCTGCGCTGCAATGGAGGACCCGTCAAATGGGAAAATAAGCAGGGAATCTGAGAGTATTAAGCCTCACCAGACTGATTTACACCTTGGCTGGCGAGGCTAGCTATGGTCCTGGCGAGCGGCTCTTACCAGCCTAAATTCCCCTGCAGGTGTTAAACATAAGCAGTAATTCATTAAGTCTCTGCCTAAAGCAATTTTTAGGGATAAAATAATTCTATGATTTTATTCCTAAAACTGAGATACTCTAGGCAACACGAAAAGCAATAACAGCAACCATTTTGGATGTCATTGCTAATTGTTAACGTTTTGGCTACTCTTGTCTGTGTCTATTATCTACCTTGCTGCTCCTTTGTTGTTACTTACAGAGCTTTCAGTTTGTAAGGTTTAATGCAGTACTCACAGTATCTCTGGCAGAACTGAATTGTAATTTATAGGGCTTTTTTAGCTCATACTTTACTATTTAATTGTACTTTTCCCCCTACACTCAGTTCTTGACCTCTAACTCTTTCCTGCAGCATCTCGCCTCATTGAGAACATGGATGCCACTGTGGACCCTTGTGACAACTTCTATCAATATGCCTGTGGAGGATGGCTGAAAAAGAACATCATCCCAGAGACCAGCTCCAGATACAGCACATTCGACATCCTAAGAGACGACCTAGAGGTCATCCTCAAAGGTCTAAAACCTTCCTTATTCCATGCAATTAAATACAATTAGGGGACAGTATTGTATATTGACTCAAGTATTATCTTAAGTGACATATATAAAAAGATTATTTTACAGTAGGTCATTATAAAGCACTTAGCACATAATGATGCTCTTATGAAAGTCTTGGATATGTAACTTGAGAGTGTTGGATCTATCACTGGATGAGTCATGTGACCCAGAGCATGGCTTTACGTCAGTCTAAGCTTCCCTTAAGCATGAGAGCTAACTAAGCTAACATTTGTGTTAGGCAACACAACAGATATGACTAATACCTGATCAAACATAGTTTTGGTTCTCTGATAAAATATTTAATCTAGTGGTGTGAATGCTGCCTTGCCTTTCACTCTAACTCCATGATTTCTCAATCTGCTGGTCCAAAGTGATCTAACATCAGTCTCCAAAACAAAGAAAGCACACTGTTTATTTCTAGTGTCGCACGTTACTTCCAGGGGCACTAAACCTGTAAGTTACAGGTCTAGGGCCCCTAGTGGCTAATAATTAGTGTTGCTTAAATTGTAATAATTTTGAAGCTCATCAAATGTATTTTCATTCACACACTGGAATGCATACAGTATTGTTCAGCAGAGAGTTAATGATATTTTCAAGAGACGGTAAGCCACAAAAGGTAAATGGGTAATTCGGGATAGGGCTATTCGATCAAAGTTGAGAGCATGGGTGAAGCAAGCAATGTCTCTCAAGCGTATTGCTTCATTACTAAACATTTGCATGCATTTCACTAATACAATGACAAAAACCCTGATCTATGATGGTAGCTACTTAATTGTTGACATTTGTTACCTGCTTATGTTGTCTCAGACACCATTAACATACCTACCTTGGTGTGTGGAAGTGACGGGTAAATGGTTTTGATTTGAGTGAACAATGTGTCAGGATGTTGTGTAGTGTAAATGAAATAACCTATTAAGTCAGGGATTTTTATGATCATAGCTGGTGGGGTAAAGCAAAGCCATTTTTCTTTTTTAGCACCAATATTTTCTTTGTTTTCAGTCTCTTTACTAATCAAGCCCACTCCTATTTCTTTCAAACTTTTAACCATATTGGGAGGTCACTGTGGTAGCTCTCCTTAATTTTTAAACGGTCAGACTGATCCCCTGAGATGTTGCTTTGATGCACTTGCAGATGCAGGAAGGGGATGTGGTGGTTACACACTGGTACAGTAATGATGCTGCATTTGATTGGGTAGAAAATAAAAAGCAGCCTGATTATCGGCTAGGTCAGCTTGACAGAAGAGCCCCTTTGGTATTATTTTGGCCTTGAAACTGAGAATGATTCTGAAGGGCTTGAGGAGGACTGGTGATCTATGTTATTGTACTGCTGCCAAATAAACAGGTTACTCAAAAAAAGAAGAAAAATGTTTTTAAAACCCTTTCTACAGCCCTTACACTCATCAGATTTTACAGTGTCGGCCTAATTTTAGTTTACTTAGACAACTTTTAGAGTTACTAGGCATATGTTAAAATGTACAGAACAGAGGTAGTCCTAGGTAAAGGATGTCAATCAAACGGCTAATGTGCTGATAAAAAAATCAAACCAATCAGCCTAATTTATGCATTTCAGTGTAGCAAGGTTGCTTCTCTAAAATGCTCTGACTAGAACCCTGGTTGGGATTATTTTATGGGGGAATTGCAAAGAAAACCATCCCTGCATTTAACCCATCCCTTAGGGCAGTAGTTCCCACACATGGTTCCCTCAGGGCATGAGTCCCTGAGGAGGAGCTCAAGGCCGATATCGAAATGAGCAATGATTTTTAATACAAAAATGATTTTTAAAACTGTCCTCCAGAGACTGCAGTTCTACAGATATCATAAATGACATGACTGCCAGACTCCCATGGCAGCAGAAAGCACAATTTATGATATCAGTAACTTTGCATTTCTACATGCAGTTAAGGGAGGTTTTTAATGCAAATTCTGCATTTGTGTGTGTGTGGTTCAAGAGTGTGTTTTTCTTTTTCTTTTAGCAGGCATTGGAGGCTTTTTGGTCCTTTAGATAGACAGAGAGGGTCACATTACTCTGAATCTGTTTGTGTGCTTTGTGGATTTATGGTTGTATTCATTTGTGTGGGGTCCATATTTTACCCAAGGTTGTCTGTGAGAAGGCCACTTGAGAGCTCAGCTGAAGGTACTAAAACTTTATGGAGGACAAACCCTCCATGAACAACAGAAAATCTTCATCTGCCATGAATGTACAAATTAAGTGGCAGTAATTTTTGTGTTATGAGGACTAAGGACAGTTTAAGGGGTAAGAAAAACCAATTAGGGAGTTGAAAATAAAAATGTAATAAAATGGATTGGAGAAGGCCTTGTTTTATTTTTTTTCCCATGACGGCGAAGCATATGGTATGAGTTTTAAAATCTCATTCTATTAAAACATGATTATTTTTCATCCAAACACTTTATTGACAATAAAAAATGTTGAAATGGGATAATGAAATGTGGTATTTCCAGAGGTTTTGTTTGTACCTGAAATTCTACCCGACATTTTACAGTATATTTATCGAAAAAAGATTTCTAGTGAGGGTTCAGATATTTTCTGCAAAACTGCAAAAGTATTGATACCTACGGACCTTATCATGGCCGTCCAAGTGTCTCAATCATTTGTAATCAATCCTGCATTAGTCACTAATTTTTAGAACCACCTCTAATTTTAGTTACAGCTGCAGGGTTTTGTTGGTATGTTTATATCAGCTTTGCACATCTGGAGAGATTTATTTGTTTTCTGTGTAAAGTAGCTAAACTTTGGTGACATAAGATGTAGAGCACATGTTAATATCAGTTTCAAAGTCATGGGTTCCCATTTATATTTGGTTTTTAACCTTGACTAGGACTTTCTAGGCCTTTTTAACATATCATTATACTTTAAAACCATTCACTTAAAGTTTAAATAGAAAACACATACTTATAGTTTCTAATTTGATAGTATGTACAAAATACATAAAGGTTCTTTATTTTACATATCATATTCAAACACGTAGACTTACAGTATTACAGAGTAACAACATATTTATATATGGTATCATGTATAAGTAGCAATGTTGTCCGATATGGTTTGTTCTTAGTTCGTCTTGTTAGCTGTTGTTTTTGCTATTTGTGTCATTTTTCTTCTGTGATTGCAGCATTTAGTTTTAGCTTGCAGGATTTTGTGTTTGCGTATTGTTTTGTTGGTTGTAGTGTTTTGCTTGTCTTTTTAGTTATTACACATTTTTTTTGCAGCATTTCTATTGCATTTGCTGTATGCGTTTGCATTTTTAGCAGTTTGTATCATGCATATGTTTCTAACTTGTTTTGCCATTTACTGTGAGTCTGCTGCTCATTTCTTTTTTGTTTGCATTTTTCTTTTGCGTTTGTTTTTTTGTTTTTGTGTGTTTTGGAGATGGCATCACAGATGTATTTGCAGCTCATTTTTTTGCCTGTGCTTCTAGACCTGTCAGCCACCGTACCAAACCCTTTGGAACTTTCCCACTACTTTTTTCCTTTACTTATCATCTGTTTTCCTTGGTATCCACGTTAACTAATGTTTTGCAGCTAATATAAGGCCTTAAAAAACCCATGTATATTTATTGAAACCAATTTCTCGTGGCAGATGGTTGGACTGCATTTTATGAAGCAGTATTAAGAAAAAAAGCCGTCTGAATATTAAATCACAACACACATGAAGAACTGTTTTTTATTATTAACAACTTGAAATCAATTATCATTCCAATTCAAAATGGTTTCCTCAAAATTAGGTTTTGTACCAAACTAAAGATGTACAAATGTATTTAAGAAAAAATTTACATTTTCAGGGATGCACATACTTTATTAAGAAACTGTAAGCCTTTCTTGCACTATGTGTTGCTTTAGGACTGCTATGGAGCTATTCTTTTCTGCCCTTGCTCCTACTTTTCAGTCCAGACACTCATAAAAGCTACAGACAGTGGTGTGGAAAAATGACAAAAAAGCTGATTTTTAGCAATAATACTATTGGCATTTACACCACCACTTAACTGTCATTTTACACGATTCTTTCTTTCTGCATTCCATTGCTTTTATACATTTTTTGAAAGTAAGATGGGTTTTGAGATGAAAGATAAAAAATATGTGAAAATAAGATCTACCAAAGAGGAACAAAGTGCAAAGGTTGATGCTGTCGAACTGTTGCCTTAATTGCTCTAAATGCTGTGTTTACCACAGAAGGAAATGGAACTGTTCCCAATCATTCAACAGCTTGATCCCCACCAACCGTTAGTGTTGTGCTCATTCCTCTAGGCTGTGGAGCTCACCAGCCGGAGATGGAATGTCTCAGGCTGTACAGTAAACATGTGTGCAGGCTTACTCTGTCTGTGTAACTCCATGTAAAACTCAGTTTTAAGACATAAATTAAATAACCCGCATGTAATGTGCCAAATAACATGCAAGAAGATGTAATATTCCTAAAAGGCTTTACGTGATGTTTTTTTTTTTTTTTTTTTTGAATGAGTGATAGGTGACAAGTAGACTTATGACCCCTACTTCTAAACTTGACATCAAACATGCAACCTATGATCCCTGGGCTCATTACAGCAGTTTGAACATCACCACCCACTGATTGATGGATGTTTTTCCTATCAACAGCTGCATAAGTCTAAAAACACCTGGACATTTTAGGGCTTTGGGCTACATTACAGCAGTAAAAAAAAGAGAAGCCTTCATGCTTGCATATTTTAAGTGTAGTGTGGTTTACAGTTCTAAGTAAATACCTCAGATTGTTATTTGCTGTACTCAGAGGACTTAAGTGATTAATAGTGAGTTGTTGTTTTTTCTCTTCCTTCCCTCATATTTTCTGTGCACAAGCTTTTAGTTTTTATTTTATATCCCACCACCCTCTTAGGTTTGCATACTGTGCAATAATTTACCCGATTGACCATGAGCATTTTAATGACTAATTAGTTTGCTTCTCGGAAGTAGAAAGCGGGAAGCAGATCTGGCA